TCCGGAGTCAGGATGCGTTTGAGCCGCAGCCGGCGCCGCCGCCGCCACCGCCGCCTTCGTCCGGTGCTGCATCCAGCGCAGAGGATGCAGTTGAGGATTCTGGGAGTGGAAAACAGAGGTATGGCGACCTGCTCAAGAGAAGTCCTGGCTGTGGTGATAGGTTTGCTGTGCAGACAGCTGAGACACTGACAGCTTTCCTGCGAGGACCCGAGGAGTGCTGGGGACTTGGACTGGATCCATGATTACTGTGCAGGTTGGGATTGGGTGGAGGCAGCTGATGCGGCGATTGATCTAAACTGGTGCAGGATTCCTTTGTTGCGGTTCTTGTGCAAGTTTTCAGATCTCTGATAATAACTCATTTGATGCCGCTGCTTCCCATGCATCGGGTATACTCGGTCTTGCAAGTGGATCCGGCTGCGTATGCGCAGCGTCGCCAGCCCATCGGGGCTGTCCGCCTTGACCCAACCAAGACGCGGGAGCTGCTGGAAGAATGCAGAAAGCGGGGGCTGGACACCTCTGGGTCTGGCACCCGGCAGTGAGGGGCAAGCATTCTCCGAGAAGCAGTTCCGGGAGGTGTCAAGTCAGGGAAGACCTCCTGAACTTGCGCGCCGCCCAGCTCTGGGAAAGGAAGACACAGGACAGACAGAGCGCTGACAGCGCGTCCAAGCAAGGCATGCACCCATCTCGCCCACGCAGCTCACGCACGACACAGCTTCCCGAGGCTGCGCGCCCAAGCGAGCCAGGGAGGCTCCACTTCCTCGGCCTCGCGACCTCAGGACGACGCCTTTCACGACTTTTTCCACACACACACACACTCACTAGAGAGACTTGCGCTGAACAGCTGCAGGCCGAGGCTCAGCAGAGGCCGAAGCAGACGGTGCCAGAGTCGAGCGAAGTCCCTTTCATTGCCGCACAGGTCGCAGGTGTAGCAGTCCTTTTGAGCTTTTGGGCGAGGCCGCTGCCGAGAGCCACTGCGACAAAGGTGCAGCCGCCTCCTCCGCAGCCGCAACAGGCCGACTCTGATAGTACGGCTGATATATGGCTCTTCTGTATGCCATCATATGCTTGAAGTGGGGCTTCAAAGACGGTTTGGGGCAGGTCTGGGGGTTCAGGAGTCCAAGCATCTTGCCTGCTTTTGCATGGCTGAAGCGCAGTCTTCGCCTGATGCCTCGCGAGGCGGGAACTGTTTGGGACCGGAGAGTCGTGCCTCCGCGGTATCTGATCCACAAAAGATACGAGGCCGGGAACTTCCCTCCGCAACGCTCTCAGCCTGTGCCTTTGAGAGACATTCAGACTTCGGCACCTATAGACTTTCAGATCCACAAACTCCCAACCTCGGGAAGCCCAAGGCCTCCCTCCCTCCCTTCTCGGGAGCCCTATAGAGTCCTATGGTGTTTTCTTATATAAGAAAGCCTGATTAAAAAAGACGAGCAGTGAAGCAGTGGAGGCCCTCTTCCTTCTCGGCCTGGAGCCTGGTCGCCTCCCTTCGGCCTCGGAGCTGCGTTCCGCGCTTCTCGGCCTCGGATTCCGAACCAACGCTCCAAAGTTGGGCAAAGGAGAACACAGACACGTGCAAGGATCGTGCGTTGCGTCCTTGTCCTTTGGCTGGTGTGCCTGCGCCGACAGTCGCCACCGCCGCCAGCACCACCGCCAACACCGCCGCCAACACCGCCGCCGCCGCCGTCACCACCACCACCACCACCACCACCACCACCACCACCACCACCACCACCACCACCACCACTCGTACTCGTTCTCGTCGTCAATCAACATCAATCGTCGTCGTCATCCTCCTCCTCCTCCTCCTCCTCCGCATCATCAGCGTCACCAAATCATCATCATGCATCGTCAACATCATCAAGCGCCAGCCGCCAGCCCCAGCTTGCTGCTGAGGTATCGAAAAGCAGCGCTCGAATCTCATCCTGACCGTCAGCAGAACCACAGCCGCCAGGCCCAAACCAATTTGCTGCTGCTTTACTTCGCGTCTGCAGTACTCGTATGTCTAAGACAAGTACAAATTCCCATTTTGTGTTTGGCTGATCTCTGCTCCCCACTTGGAATGAGTTCTACGCATGCTCTGCGAAGGAGGAGGCAAAGCAGCTCTTCCAGCGGGTCAAGGCCGCCTAAGTGAGGCCTCCCTGCGTTCGACTACGTTTCGGCTGTTGGAGGATGCCTTCGACCACCTCACGACGAGTGTTCGCTGATGGTCTGAGGGTGCCTTTGATAACGTCCCGTGGCTTCTTGCCTAAAGCGGCTAAGCTAGCTTCCAGCCTGCAGCCTGCCAAAGTCAGCATGCAGAAAAGAAGCAAAGTGATTAGAGTGATTAGAGCGAGCCAGAAAGACGATCGCCCCTCGGTTGAGCATCAGTCGCGTATCTAGCAACATCGCGTTTGCAGAAATGGCGGTAATTTGGCGGTGATACCTTTGCACGCTTCTTCCTTCCCCAACACTTGTTCCTGATTCTTGCCGCCGCCAGCTGTTTCATCGGAGCTTGCTGCTTCAAACGCACGCCGTCGGGCTTCTTGAGAGTCGGCGGGATGTCGAAGTCGCATGCGTGTGCAGCACCTCTGCTCGCTTGTCAATGCCCACAAGAAGCGGAGTACCGGACCGGCGGAGAGCGTGTGCATACACTCATAGACGCCGTACACCTTACATGCAGAGCCCGCCGCCACAAAGACGAGCCTTACGCCAGGCGTTGCGTTCCGGACTTGAGCTCGTTCCTGCCCGCCTCCGGGAGCTGGGAAGGCGAGTCGGCGAGGATGTCACTCAGAGGTGGTACATACCCGTCAACATTGGCCGTGCCGGTGAGGGGCAAGGACAACAGGCTGGCTGCGAAAGAACGCGCGGCAGCGAAGGAGAGTAGCGCAGACCAGCGGAGAGTAAAAGCCGAGATAGCGGCAGCGCGAGGGTGGTGGCGCAGACCGCGCACGGCACCGTGCCAGCAAGCGGACAAAGGTAGCGGCCTCGGCACTCCAACGCCCCCCCATATAGCCTCAGCACCTGCACTGGAACAGAAGCTGTCGGCCATTTGCTCTGCACTGCCACCGAAGCGTGCCCACGCGCCACCGTCCTCTCAGTTGATGCCGTCGGCGCGTTTGACCACGTTTCGCGCGGCGCGATGCTCCGGGCCCTGCTTGCCCGGCGCGAGCTCCACCCGCTCCTCCCCTTCTCTCGGCAATTCTACTCTTTCTCCGAGCATCCACACGTGGTGCGATGACGACGGGTGCCCGCATAAGGTGAGCCACACGGTGAAGGCGGCAAACAAGGCGACCCCTGATGCCCACTTTCTGCGCCTTGGCGCGCAACATGACGCGCTCTGCGACTTGCAGCGTCAGCTTCGCGATGGTGAGGCTGTGTTCGCCTTCCTCGATGACGGCTGCGTCGTCGCTTTGCCTGAAATCGTGCTCTGTACGATGCCCTAAGCAACGACCTGCGGGACCGTGCACGAATCCGTCTCCACGAAGGCAAGACTCGCATCTGGATACTGCCGGGGAGCCGCCTGCAGTCGCCGACCTCGGAGGTGACGCCCATGAGCCGGTCTGGGTCGGAGACTGGTCCCTCCCGCCCGACGCCAGGGCCTCACCGTGTGCTGGGATCACCTCTCGGCCACGACGCTCTGGTTGCCTATCATCTCCAAGCGTGCGGAGCATGACCGCCTATTGCAGCGCATCCCTCATCTGGATAAAATAACCTGCAGCCCGAGCTAATTACATGCTGCGCATACTGCCTCCACACGTGACAGCTACCGCTACCTACGCCGCAGACCACGACTCGGCCATCGCGCAATGCCTCGCCCTGACCCCCTGCACAGTACGGGCAGCCCAACTCCCGCAACGGTTCAGCGGGTTACGCTGTGCCATCCGACCGCCATGCAGCTCACTGATGCTCACTGGGCGTCTTGGTGCGACACCCTTTCTGTCGTCCAGGCCCAAGCGCGCGTACGAGACGCACCTTGCTGACCTTATAAACCTGCTTCTCGAGCGCTGCTGCTGTCCCAAGCTGGGCCTTTCGCCGCGCGCTTTTGACGTCACACCCACGCGGGATGACGTTACCATACCCGGTGCCCTGTTCCGTGTTCTCCTGCTGCGCCGCTTGCGACTTCCCCTCCCGCTCACGCCACGCAGATGCAGCTGTCGGGGGCAACTCGACCTTGCCTCCGGCGAGCTGGCTGTGCATGAGGTCCTGCAAGAGGAACGCTGGCTGGATGCCCCCGCCCCCATTCGACTCCCGCAAAGGACCTATAGGCTGCATGCAGGTGCGCTGGACCGCTCTCGTACCGTTCGCAAAAAGTGTGTGGACCCTTTAGGTGATCACCGCGCCGCCTGTGCCACCTCAGGGGTCCTGCCCACCCGTGCCCTGCCGCTAGAGCACGCCGTCGCGCGAGTCTGCCGGGAGGCTGGCGCCAGAGGGACCGGGTTGGAGACATGAATGTCGATGTGCCGGTCGCCGACGCGCGGCGCATTCCCCCCGCAGCCGAGCTCAGAGAAGGCCCTGAGCCCGATTTGCACGAACTCCTCGCCGAAGCGCGCTGGGACCACGCCTAGCATAGCAGGCTGTGTCCTCCACCAGCTGCGCCGGCGCTGCAGTGTAGGGCGGTTCGGCACAGGGACATTCGTCACGAACTTGTGCTTGCAGTTAAAAAGGCAAGAAGGTGCGTTGAAAGGAAATGGGACGTCCTTGTGGCGGACGGAACAATGTGTAGAGGGGAAAACATTTTGGCTCAAAACTACGTTTTGGCTCAAGGTGCTCGAGCTTGACTGTCGTTAGCTTTGTTTGAGCCTCTTGGGGCCGTCTTGGAAGTCGTACTGCTCCCGGGCCCTTCAACGCCCGACGTTGTAGGCCGTCACGCTGCCCCTGCAGCAGGTGGGTGCTCTCTGGGATAGGGGCACCCAGGATAAACAAACCCTTGCTTGCCTTGACCTCCGGCGCCATCCGGGCCACCCTCTGGCTTAAGACCCTAGGTGCGTTAGTTCCCTCTTCTCCGCCCTGGCTTCGATTCAATGAGTGACACACCGCCCGATTATTCGCCAGCAGAAGAGTTGCACCAAGTGCGGGACATCTTCTTCCTTCGCTGCCCAGTGTCCACTCCTCGCCGGGACTGCCGGGAAGCAGCGTTCCCGCCACGGACGCGGCCAGTGCAACCAGCAGGCAAGCAGCGGCGGCTACCACACCGCCCTGGCTTCTCGGCAATGACGCGCCCTCGCCCCAGGCATGCCCATCCACTGATGCCTGCCCAGTCTGCCATTGCGACTTCCCTTCGCACGCCCATGGACCGGGAACGCCCTTCCTTTGTGGCCGGGCTGTGGCCATGCACTGCACTTGGGTTGCGTGGCCCATCTGGTTGCTTAATGTCCGGGAGCTGCGCTGTCCTACATGCCTGGCGCCATGGCCGCCCTCAGCCGCCGAGGCCTTCACTGGCGCTTGCCGCCGCACATACGGTGTCCCGGACGCAACCGGCCCCAGATCACGACACTACCTCGCGCCAGTACCACGAAGCCATTGCATCCAGACCCCCTGCCCACACCTTGCCGTTCTGCTGCCCGAGGCTCTTTTTGGCATGCTGCCTCCGATGCTGCTTTGCTAGAGTTGCCTGACCGGCACGCCAACACCGCCCACCTGCCCCACGCACGGTCCTCGCCGGCTCGCCATCGACTCGTGCCCTGGCCAAAGACTGCCGCTCCCCGACACACCGCATGCCACACCTGCAGATCCACCAGCGCGTGCTGGCTCAAGTGCTGTACCGACCGACGCGGCGGCGGTGTCTGCACCGAACGATGCGGCGTGGTACAACCAGGGCCCACCGCTCGGACTCAACAACGGGCGAACACACAGATGGCTTTTTGTGCCGTTACTGCATGCCGCTGTGGGCCGCCTCCACCCGCCGCGGTAGGCGCGTGGCATGCCCACGCCGTCTACGCACCGCTTTGGCAGCGTGCCCTTGATGCCCTTCGCCAGGCACCCGCTGTCCAACCAGCCGCACGGGTGCGTGCAGTGCACACCCTGCAATATCTTGCGACCGAACAAGGGCGAGCACTCCCGGTGCCCGAGGCGCAGTTGCTCTTAACCGTGGCTGCTGAGACCAACGCCCTCCCAAGCAACACCTTGGTGCACCTCTTATGGGCATGGCACCTCGTGACGCCGCCTGACGGGTACATACCCGCAACTGTCCCAGAGGCGTTGCTGCACGTCTTCATGGGGGAGCAAGCGGCGTCGGCACTGTTGCGCGATGTCACCGCACTGCACCGTGATGGCCGGCCTGCCGCCGGTGATGCCACCCCCCATCCTCAAGCTCCCGTGTGCTACCCTGCAGCTGCTCGAGGCGCGCCCCTGGCCGAGCCTGCCGCGCCGCCTCCCGGGGCCGCCTGACGACTCTTCCACTTCCAGCTTTTCCTCGAGTTCGCGCAGCACTAGCCCTGCCAGCGGGTCTGGGCGCCCCGTGCCTATTCACGCCAGCCCTGTGGTGCCGGACCAAACCCGTGCAGCCAGCCCCCAGCAAGCCGCGGCTCAGGATGCCGCCCCCGGCCAAGCAGACTCGTACCTTCATTTGCCAGGGATGGAATTGCACGGTCCTCGCCTACACAACGCACTCCTTGCCTTGGACCGCTACAATGCTGCAAACACCCTGAGCCGGCCCTGTGCCCTGTTCCACGTCCCGCCCGCCTTCATCCGTGGACAGTTGCGGCAAGCCCTCTACTGCGCACTGGCCTGCATCAACACATGCCCTGATCCTCTCGGAGTGGATGCCGAACGTGCGTGGATGCGCTGGCGCAACACGAAGCCCGTTGCGACCTCCAGAACCAGCTCCGGGGTGGCGAGGCTGTGTTCGCTTTCCTCGACGATAACATCGTCGCAGCGCCTGAGCGCGTGCGCACGCTCTACGATGCTCTCGCGTCCGCGTTGTGGGACCGGGTTTGCACCAAAGCAAAACGCGAATCTGGACCGACCTCGGCGAAGGTGAAGAGAACGTCTGGGTCGGAGACAGGACTCCCCCGCCACAATCGCAAGGTCTCACAGCGCTCGGCTCCCTTTTGGGCTCAGCGCTTTGGGGGGCTCGGCCTCCGCTCCACCTCAAAAGACCGCTTCGCGTCCGGCGGCGGCCGCCGCGCCGCCCTGCAAGGCGACGGAGCCCTGCCTTCGACGGCCGCGGCTACCCATGCCTGCGCATCTATTGACATTGGTTTTGAAGCGACTTGGCGCCTTGGGCGAGACGATGCAGGGGTCGTCCACCGCATCGTGCAAGCGGAGGGCGGCGAGCAGGGTGATCCCTTGATGCCAGCGCTGTCTGCCTTGGGTATCGCCCCTGCGCTGCCGCCTTGCAGGCTGAAATGCACACTGCCGAACGTGTGCGGGATTTCCTGGACGATGTGTACGTGACTTCACCACCTCCTCGCGTCGCACATCTTTTGGGCAGGCTGCAGCACCATGTTCAGCTCAACCCCTCTACGACCCGCCTGTGGAACGCAGCTGGCGTCAGGCCCGCATCGCTACCTGCGCCTGCCGGTGCACGGCCCTGGGACCCAGAACTCGCCGCTGCAGAGCAGCCTCCGCGCTCGGCACCCCCCTCGGCATCCCCGAGTACGTCGCTGCACAGCTTGACACGTTGACTACGCAGCACGGCCTTGCCAGCCAGACTCCGCGACGTTCCAAAATTCAAGTTGCTTGGATGTTGCTGCTGTATTCTGCCCTGCCCCGCGCACAATACGTGCTCCGGATCCTGCCGCCCCAGCGACGAGGGCTTTCTCGGCTGCGCATGATCGCTCCAATCCTTCCTGCCTTGCAACCCTCCTGCTCCACCGGCGAGTTCTTGGCCAACGGCCGCGCCCAACTCAGCCTCCGGCATGGTGGTCTGGGTTCGCAGTGCCGCCTGGCACGCCTACTTCGCGTCGTGGGCGGACGCCCTGCAAGCCCTGGGGGGCCCCTTGCTAATGTAACTTGGGGGGGGATCCGCTGACACGTAGAGGGCCGCCCGGAGGCCCGGATACGTCAGAAGGTTGCCCCCCTCGATTACATGTTCATGCGGTGCATGCTTGAACGTGGTAACTTGGGCCTCTGTTCCCAGACCCCCCCAAGTATACATCTCGGGTTTTTCGTTAAGCGAGTGGTGCAAAACCTACACCCAGAAAACTTAAACCCTGAAACTTATAGCACCGAAGCCCAGAAACATCCAGAATTTCAAAATCCAGAATCCTTGAGGAGCCCTGAAGCCATAAACCCCTAACCAGAAGTTCTAAACCCTAATGTCCTGCAGCAAACCCAGTACCTTGGACGCAGAAACCCTAAACCCAGAAAAATCCTGAACCCAGAAACCCAGAAAGCCTAAACCCCCAAACGCAGCTACGTATCAGCAGCCAGAAATGTAACCAAGGGGGTCCCTAGTGCAAGCCATATCATTGCGAAACCCGGAGCTTGCCGCCACCGCCGCACGACGGCTCCAGCAACCACATGAGGCTGCGTCGTCGCTAGCGGCCCTGCAAGAAGCCGCCCACACACTCACCAGTGCCGGTTTCCAAGCCCCATGATGGGACCAGCTCGCCCACACACCTTGCCCCGTGCCTGAACAACTGGATGACCAGCCCACCGATTTCACTCGTGGATGGCAGCGCGGCTTTTGCGGGTTCCCTCGCCGGTCGGCTCGATCCCTCATCAGAGGCCTTGCTGGAATCCCAGTCCGGCCCCTTCGCAGCCAAAGTGCTCACAGCCTTGCCGACTTCCCCTGAGCTCCTGTTCGAGCCAGGGTCTTACCATGTGATGCTGCTGCGCCGCCTGCGCCTGCAGCTGCCCCTGGTCCCTGCATTCTGCCCCTGCAGGCGCCTCGATGCTTTGGGTGACCACCGTGCCTGCTGCCCACGCTCCGGTGTGCTGCGCTCGCGAGCTGTCCCACTCGAGCGAGCGGCTGCTCGGGTTTGCCGTGAGGCGGGGGCCAGTGTCGCGACCAATGGTGTCCCCCTTGACTTCTGCTGGAGCCCCCGCAAGGCTGTCGGTCGCACAGCTGGCGCTGCGCTAGCACTAGCACGCAAAGCCAAGGAGCTCCGACAGTCTGCCCGATGCAAACTCGTCGTGCTGGCCCCGGAGCTCGGTTGCCGGTGGAGCACTGAAGCTGCCACTGCCAAGCTTCTTGCACGCCTCCGTGCGCGAGCCGCGCCTGCCTCCTCTCGCGGCCCCAGCATTTCAGCCTTTGTCTCTCGCTGGTCAGCCTTGCTATCCTTTGCGGCTGCCCGCGCCTTCGCTGCAAGCCTGCTCTCCCTGCCCCTCGGCGGCACGGCTATAATGTCGACGGCGAATCCGCGCTGCTGAGCGACATGCTTGCAGACTCCGCCCTGGAGCCGCCCCTTGCCAGCCGCCTGCCCTGACTAATGTAGCGCGCAGTCGGCGCAGGTTTGGGCCTGCACTGGGACCGCCTCTAGCCTCGGACGCTGGTAAAAAGGTGTGTCGGGAAAAAGGAAAAATGTGCTCCTGCGTGACCATCTTGGCTCAAGCAAGTCGGAATTACTCGTGAGCTAAGGAAACGGCTGTCGGGCCTTGGGGCCTGCTTTCCTCCTTAACCCGAACGGCTCCCAGGCCCTCAACAGGCTGACGTTGTAGGACGTCACGCCGCGACGGCGGCAGATGGTCTGGTGCTCTGGGACCTAGGGAAACCCAGGATAAATAAACCCTTGCCTGTCACGACTGGGGAACGGCCCAGTATAAACTCACCGTTTGCCTTGCCCTGCCCCCCCCGGCGCCGCCCGGCCCACCCCGCGGTTGTAGATTGGGTTCTTTTTGGCCGCTTAGCCCCCGCTGCATGGCGCCCGAGGATGCGCCCGACGGGAGTCCTCTCACCGTGCCCTCCTTAAGTCCCCCCCGTGCTTCAGAGGCAATTCAGGCGGCGCCACTGCGCCAGCCTTGCCACATGTTCCGGACACCGCCGCCTTTTGTCAAAGGGCCGCCCCGACATGCCATGCATTTTGCCCTTACCCACATCCTGCAAGCGTCGGTGCAATCTCGCGAAGCCGAACGCGCGTGGAAACTGTGGCTCCTGCTCCCACGCATGCTGCTCCACCGCCCTGCAGGAGCGCACAGGATCCCCAAACCCGAACTGCGGGAGCGTTTCGAGCGCTTCACCCAGGGGGACTGGGCCAGCCTCCTTCAAGAGTCCTCCTCGTCGGCACCTCACTCGCAACGCAGCCCCCGCCCCAGGGCGCAGCTCGTGCCGATCGGGCAGTTCACCTCGCGCACCTCGGTGAGCTGTCGGCAGCTCGTCAGGCACTCCTAGCGACTCCGCTCGCACCCGGAGATGCCGCAACCCTCGGCGCACTTAGAGACCCGGCTCGCAGGCCGCCTGAGCCGTACGCACCCCTCGACCCCAGCATTTTGCAGTGGTCAGCTCAAGGGCCCCTCACGCTCACCCGAGCCGCTGTCATCTCCAACTTGCGGCGCTCCCGCCGAGGAGCCGCCCCCGGGCCTTCGGGCTACACAGCCGACATCTTGCGTCCCTTGCTCGATGACGCTGCCGGCATCGAAGTCCTCCACGGGGTCGCCGAGCTCCTCGCTCGCGCCGAGCTGCCGCCCCTGGCAGCCTCAGCACTCTCCCTGGGACGCATTATCGCTTTGAGCAAGCCTGCGGGAGGTGTTCGGGGCATCGTCGTTGGCGACTTTCTCCGGAGGTTGGTCGCGCGCACCCTGGCGCAGCAATTTGCTCCCGCATTCGAGGCTGCCACACACCCGCACCAGTACGCCTTGTCCACCCGTGCCGGCTCAGAAGCACTCGTGCATTCCTTGCAAGTCGCTAGTGACGGCGACCCTGTCGATGGGGTCGGTGCTTTTGATCTAATAAGCAGGCAGGCCATCCTCACGGCGCTCCGCGACACACCCGATGCCAATGCCATCCTGCCATTTGTGCGGCTCTTTTACGGTTCGCCGTCTGAGTTCGTGTGGGCGGACGCTGCCCACAACCCCCGCAGCATACTTCAGGCCGAGGGCGGCGAGCAAGGGGACCCGCTCATGCCGGCCCTCTTCGCCCTTGGGGTCGCGCCCGCCCTGCGTGCCATGCAAACCGACCTTCTGCCCGGCGAGAGCGTGCGTGCATTCCTCGACGACACGTACCTCACCAGTCAGCCCTGTCGCACCGCCTTCTTGCTGCAACGCCTCGAGCACCATCTCTTCTCACACGCGCACATCCGGCTCAACGCCGCCAACACCCGTGTCTGGAATGCAGGAGGCATCCGCCCGGCCGGGCTCCCACCGCCACCAGACCCCGAGTCTGAACATGTGCACATCTGGGTTGGCGACACCAGCCTGCCCGCTTACCAGCAAGGTCTGAAAGTCTTGGGGACTCCACTCGGAACGGATGAGTTCGTTGCTGCGCACCTTCACACCCTCTCGGCGCAGCACCGCACTTTCCTCGAGCTGCTTCCCACTCTTCCCGACCTCCAGTTCGCGTGGTTGCTGCTGCTACACTGCGCAAGTCCCCGTGCACAATACATCCTCCGTGCCCGTCAGCCCTCACTGCCGTGTTTGCTGCGGAGCACGACCGCAGCGTGCTGCATTGCTTGGCCTTGCTGCTGCAAGTCCACGCTGCCCCGGAGGACCCACTGCCCAACCTCCCTCTCCGCCGGGCTCATTTGCCGCTTCGCCATGGGGGTCTCGGCCTCCGCAGTGCCGCAGCGCACGCCCACGCAGCCTATTTTGCTTCCTGGGCCGACTCACTTCGCGCCATCAGAGCCCGCGAAAGCGCTTTTTGCGAGGACATCCTGCAGCAACTCGCAGGCCCTGCATGCAACCGCCGCTGCACGGTGCCGCCGTCGTCCTGACCAACCACGGTCTGAGCGTGCCAGCCTGGGGCGAGCTCGTCACGGAACCACCTGCCGAAGCCGAGGCCGATCCCGCGCTTCACGAGCCTGCCGACCTCGCTCGCGGCTGGCAGCGAGCAGCCTCCAAGGTTGTTGACGATGCCCTCCTCGCTGACCTGACCTCAGCGCTTGATGAAGCGTCCACTGCCTTGTTGCACTCCCAGGCAGGTCCCTTTCCCGGTCGTGTTTACACTGCCCTCCCCACATGCCCGGAGCTGCGCCTAGACTCCGCTGCTTATCGCGTGCTCCTGCTCCGGCGACTCCGCCTTCCACTGCCCCTCGATGCTGCACTGCCGTTGTGGCGCTCAGCTGGACCCTTTCGGGGATCACAGGGCCGCCTGCCCACGCGCTGGGCTCCTCCGCGGGCGAGGCATCCCTTTGGAACGAGCTGCCGCGCGCGTTTGCAGGGAAGCTGGAGCCACAGTCGCTGCAAACGTCCTGCTGCGCAATCTCAACATCATCACCCGTCAGCAAGACGACCGGCGAATCGAAGTTATCGCCAACGGGCTCCCGCTTTGGGGGGGGATCCAGCTCGCTGTCGACACCACACTTGTCTCGGCCCTCGACACCAGAGGCCGCCCGCGGCGCTACAGGCGCAGCACGGTCGGCGCGGCCCTCCGCCTTGCACGCTCGAACAAGGAGCGTACCTACCCCGAGCTCATGCATGCCCCGAGGTGCCGCCTCGTAGTGCTCGCCATCGGGTCGCGGGACGCTGGAGCGCTGAGGCCGTCCAGTTCGTCCGTCTTTTGTTCCGCTGCCGCGCACGGTCCGCGCCTCCCCACCTGCGGGCCAGCAGCACTGCAGCGTGGGTGCAGCGATGGTCCGGACTACTCGCATTCGCAGCCGCCAGGTCCTTGCAGCCTCGCTGTTGTCGCTGCCCCTTCACGGCACCGCCAACGTCGATGGCCTTCTCCCCGACCTGAGCGACGTGCTCGCCGAGCACCGACTCGACAGCCCCCCGACCGCCAGTCGCCTGCCGGCACGCTGACGTGCCACCACCTGGGCCTTGGTGTCGGTCTGATGGTTCCGCTGGTTAGGGTTTGGTAAGAGTAGTTTAATGGGACTACCCGCGGTAGGCTGCTGCACTGGGACCGCGTTGGCACGTTCGCAAAAGGTGTGTGTGGAAAAAAAACCTCAACTTTGTTGTCCAGCGGCAGGACAAGCGGCGCATCGAGGTCAACGGTCTTCCTCTTTGGAGCGGTGCCCAGCTCGCAGTTGACACGACGCTTGTGTCTGCCTTGTGGACTCGGCAGGGCACAAGCCCGCCGCCACCAGCGCTCCACTGCCGGTGCCGCCCTACGCATCGCCCGCAAGGCGAAAGAGCGGACATACCCCGAAATACTCCGTTCCGCACGGTGCCGGCTCGCTCTGCTCGGAACCTGCGCTCGAGTGCCACCGCTGCATATGTCACCCGCTGGTCTGCCTTGCTTTCTTTCGCAGCCGCCCGTGCTCTCGCAGCGAGTCTCCTTTCCCTCCCTCTCGCGCACACTGCCAACGTTGATGGGGACCCCTTGGACTTGGGTGACCTTCTCGGGGCTGCGCACGAGGCACTTCCCCCTTCTCTCCCCAGCCGCCTGCCTCCGTGCGGCTGACTGGACTTCGTGGACTTTTCGGCCGCCGTAGTTTGTGCACTGGGACCGCGTACAAGATATCTTCGAGAAAAGGTGCAAGGGAAAAAAAGGACATTTATAGGCGGCTGTTACAAATTTCGTGGGGAGATCCAGGGGCCAGAACTTGGGGGATCAATCGCCGACCACAGAGCTTGCTCACCAAAGGTAAAGCAGCCCGGTGTGGAGTGCATGCGGCGAGCAAACATCAGCAGCAATAGGCCACGTGCCCAACGTCGTTGGGACGAGGCATTTGGAGCATTGACGTTGACCTTGGCGATCAAATTTCACCGGTTGCCAGCCGCACCCTCTCACTTCGCTCCAGGCATCAGTCTATCGGAGTCATTGTTATGTGGCAATGCAGAATTGGACTTATGTGCTTGGCCGCGGCGATACAGTGCGCCGTGGGGCACACGGCCTTGGGACGAGCATGTGCATTTTGTCATCTTCCTTGCAACCAAATTCGGCAGAGAGACGTTATGTGCAGAGCTTATCCGGGCCTTCAGTGGTCACTTGTCGATTTTCTCCACGACCGCGGCGAGACGCGAGTTGTTGTTGGCCCGCGGCTACCGATACCAACGCTTTGCGACATTCGGGCAAGAGCAGCTGCGGTTGCTGCATCGGACGTACGACGGGGGATGACTGGAAAGGCTCAAAAGGGCTGTGCTGCGATCATGTTTTACTGGAGTTTAACGATATTGACTATGCATTGAAGTTAGGTTCAGCAGGGTTCTGGTAGTTCTATTGGCTTTCGACCCAGAGCAATACGACCACATTATCACAAAACGGTGCTGCCATGACTACCCCCATCGACATGGAGGGTGTCACCTCGGCTGCAAGACATTAAACTTCTCGTGGTGATACACTGTTACACGGTGCATATGCTGGTCAGTTAGTCTATATGAAAACCTGCACTGCCATAGCGAGCTGTTTGAGTCGGGAATGCAAGGTTTGGAGCAGTTTGTTGCCATGCAAAGCGACCGAGGCAAAATTCTCCATGATCAACAGTTTGCAGCTGCCTTACCTGCATCGCGCAAGACGCAAACCTTGTTTGGAAAGATTTTATTGCAGGAGAAGTGGCAATGCGCTCTATGACACAATGCCACCCGGCTGTTCAATGCTTTCTGGTGACATTGCTCAAGATGAAGATGGTCTACTGTACAAGGCTTGCTATGTTGATTCCCCTGCTCTTCAAACTGTCTCCGCCTTATACTGTTTGACTGAATAGGTGCAGCTGATGGCAGGGCGACACATGAGATTGCAGGATCGTGTGCTGTTCGGTTTGAGGCTGTTCGATGGAGCCTCCAGTTTGCTTCCTTTCCTCAACGACATATTGGCCAAAGTCAAGAAAATGTTCAGGAGCGTCGACATGCAAATTCAAACGCAAACAAACTTGCGCCTCACTGCCCGCATTCTACGTCTGAAAGCTGGATCATTGCATCGTTGTCAGGAGAGCGCCTCCGGAATACTACCAGCGCACCATCGAGGCCTGCAGGTACCGTCGCACCGCGCATGATTCTGCTTTGAAAGTTTCTGAAAGGTTCAGCAGATGCGACGAAGCGATGGGTACCTGTACACCCCTGGACCCGGGTACGACAGATCGACAGTTCTTCTGAGGGCGCCCTGTCCGACTGCTCAATAATGCTTTTGTCCGTTCATTTATACAATACAGCGTGAGCATAGCTCCTCGAGATGCAAGGCACTGACCCAGTACATTGCTGACAAGGTCTCGTCCTACAAGGAAGCCAAAGTGTCATTGGAGGATCACTACATGGAAGTCGAAATTGAGAACGATGATGGTGACGAAGACGATCCAGAAAAAAACACGGAGATTGGGTTCCTCAAAACGTACTACCAGATTACTCAGAAGGTGCCTGAGGACAAATGGATCGAGGTTGAACCTGGTTTGGAGGTCTTCTTGAAAGTCAACGAAAGCGAGCGGCCTCCAGACAAAGACGTTGCTGCTTGACGAAATCATCCGTTTTCGTTGTGGATCGTGTGATAGGAGAGAGCAGCAGGATCCATTTTGAGGCACACATACCGGTCAAAGTTACTACGGAGATGCTCATCAAGTCCCTCAAAGAGAAACAGGCACGGGTACCGCAAAAGCAACATAGGATACCCCGCGATGTCGTGTGCAGGTTGTTGATTTTATTGACAAGTCCTACCAGTGGTATTTGGACTTGCAGAGCAAGATGCAGTCCAAGAACAAGTGCCGGTACATGTACGTGTCTTGTCAGATTTCAGACTTCTACATCACTTCCTACGGTTTGACACGCAACTCCATGCCTTCGTGATGACTTTGTTAAGGAGATGATTCCTTCGAAGGCAGAAGAAGCAGAAAAGAGATCGTACAGAAGATACAAATTGCAACATGCCCAGTCCTGGCACATACTGGTAAGTTTGGAGTATGTCGCTGGCTTCCAGGTCGGGAGACAAGGCGTTTCAGAGTTTGTTCTTCCCCGAGAAGGCAGGTTTGGAAGCGGCTTGTTTGGCCACATGCCAACACACGGTATGTGCTTTGTTTGGAGGATACTCTGGTACAAATCTTGGACCACTTCAAGCATCGGACTGGCAAGTGGACCACCCCAGCATAGGGCACATGTGGGACGCTTTCACCCATGATTTTCCCGTGGCTGGCTGCGCACAGTCCGACAAGTTGAGCTTCGGCCAGGTACGGCATCCCAGGATATCCCCACAAGCTGGGGTTGTTGCTGTATGGCCCTCCTGGCACAGGCAAGAGTTTTTGCAGAGTCCATGTCGCGATGTGTCGCCGCGAGAAGGCAAAACCAGCCTGATCAAAGTCCTCGTCTAGACCTCAGCTTGCTTCGTGAGCGCTGGTTGCTGCGGCGGCGCTCTCTTCTTGTGCATCACGTGGCACTTGGATCCAGAGAGCATTGCTGGTGTCCGTCGTGTTGCACGAGCAGCAGGCCGACAGTGAAGCTTGCCTCGGCGTGTGAGGCGCAACATACGGAGCGGTCCATTGTGAATGTGCCTCTGGCACGCATCAAGACCAACACGGAGTTGATGCAGCTGAGACTTTGCTGTGAGACAGACACATAATGGCAACAGCTAGCCGCTAGCGTCTACGCTGTGGGGTTTGGATGCCATTGCTGCGGCAAGGATCTTCGACCAGAAGTACACGGTAGAAGGTATCGAAACACCAGTGCGGCTACGAATCAAGGATGTCATCTTCGTCATGGAGGCGCGTGAGTGTGTCCTGCGACGCAATCCAACCCGCACCATTGAAAGGACGTGGACGCAGCCTCCCATGTCGTGCATCGCCTGGGCCTCGGATGTCCGAGACACCTCAAAAGGCCGTGTGTGAGATCCAAGGCCGGGACCAGTCGAAAGAAGCTTTGCGGGAGGAGCTCTTGAGTATGCAGAACTTTGATCGCATCGAGCGCTTGGAGAAGCTGGAAAGGCCCCGCCTTCGCCGGTTGCAGCGAGCTCTGCACCCAAGTCACTTAAGCTCTGAGCATGCGGGCAGGTTGGCCAAGAAACTCGAGAAGGAGGAGGATTCTGAGTGCCTTGTCTTTGGCTGGACCTGGTGTGGGACCAACTCTGCCGCATTGATTCTCTCAGGAAGTCTAAACCGAAAGGAACCCAGGAGCCCTTGCAGGGGTTGTTGTGTCGCTGTGAGTTTTGGCATCGGTCGTCAGGAGAGCAAGACAGAATCAAAAGAAGTCACTGAGCATCTTGGCAGCTTTCAGCTTCCCCTTGCTTCTCGCGGCCTTTGCGAATATTGAAGTTCGCTGAAGGACTGCGGCTGCAGAACAGAAGGGAGCCACGCGAGAAGTGGACGGAAAGCTTCTACAGCAGATGCTGGATGTCATTCATGACAAAAGAGGCTGATCTTTTTGTCGCTATCTGCTTGGTTCCTGTCCTGACATGCCCCGGATAAGAAGGTGGCGAAACGCTCTATGGGGTCGCAGGGCCCTCTGGCGAGGTCATGGGCGGGGACCAGCTGAACCTTGCCGGGATTCTGAACACCCTCGACGGCGTCGTGGACACGCCAGGAGCCCACGGCAGCCCACGGCCCAGTTCGCGCGCACGCTGCCGCGTCGAGAGCCAAGGCCTGGGCGGCTCCTGGTCGGGAGCCCGGGTCGGTTCTCAAGGGGGCGAATTCGAAGATTAGGCTGCTGTGCTTTTGTTCGGAGGTCATGACGTCCAACCACCCCGAGAAGCTGGACCCTGCCTTGATCCGGCCTGGTCGCATCGACAAAACCTTTCACTTGACTTACATGGTCGGTCACCAGGCGTTGTCCAGTCTTCGGCCTTTCGAGATCCGAGAGCTACCATCCTCACAGGCGTGCAACATGGTGGCCCACTATTTCCAGCAGGACCTGTGAGCGATTTGGGCAAAAGTCCCACGCAGGCAAGCAGAACGTCGACTCCAGTGTGCGCTCAGGAAGTCAGCAGCCAGATCCAGGAAAGCCGCTTGGAAGAAGAACACTTTGCCGGCATGCGCGAGTCCTCAGACGCGAGTGCCCCATAAACATATCTCAGGACTGACCCTGCTACTCGACGGGGGTGTTGAGTCCAAGGACCGCAGTGCAAGTCGTTCTTGTTATAGCAGCGACATCACGCGCTTGACTTCATCTCATGGCCAGCTGACCGGTATTCGCAGCTTGCGGCCGTTTGGGAGGCTTTGGAAATCACCCCGGCCCGGTTGGAGCAGCTCTGCGCAGAGCACGACACCGCGGAGGAGTCTTTGAGAGCACCTTTGGTCGCTTGCGGCTGATGTTGAGGTTGGGTGAAAGCGCCACTTCGGCCTTTTCATTGTTATGTGCAAGCTCATGCAGAGCTGGAAAGTGTCTGCACAAGGTTTGTGGCAGGCTGCTCTTAGAGTCTGTGTTTTTCGTACATTCAACATGCAGAATTGGCTGTGAACTCGAAGCTCCCTCCCAGGACCTCTGCGCAGCTTTGGAGTTGTTGTTGGAGCCACAGCCGAAGGTGCCCAGCCAAATTTCGCTGTCACAGCCGGAGGAAGATTTCAACTTGAGGTTAAACCACTAGCTAGTACAGCAGCTTCTTCTTTCAACAGCACAAGCTTCCCGCAGAGTGAGCACGGCTTCCGCATGTAGTGCTCCAACAACAGCTGGCGCACGACAACTACTGAGACCACGGTAGCCTAGAAGTCAGTCTCTGCAGCCAAGGTCAAGCTGTTCCGAGCCGAGAGTGCCCCCTGTCGACAGAACAGGGTCGTGTTGATCTTCTCCAGTATTCTTGACGGCAGTTGGGACACGGAGCTATACTTGTAGGTGTGTGTATTTACAGTCTTGCCATTTAAGCGTAGCCTTGCAGGCAATCCTGCTCTTTCCTGTCGACTGAGGTTAGTGCCGAGAAGACCCTCGCAAGCATCCAGCGTTCCACCACGGCGCCCCCCGACACCGGCGAAAAGCGGCTGGCGAAATGCTGGTAGCTGATCGTTTCTAGTACAGCTGCCTCGAGCATTTAGAGAGGCCTCTGGACTCAGCTTAGCTCAGCCGGAAACGGCGGTCGACGGCAGCCCCGGTGCACCAGCCACCGGCTGCACTCGGCTGCAGGCTCTCTTTGTACAGTAGCTTTTGGTTGCATTCCGAAGAAAGAGCCTTTATTTCTCTTGCTGTTTGCCACTGAGCTGAGCACATGTCGTGCAGCCCCACGCCTGACGAATCCTCCAGCAGTGAATCCGAAGCCTCGTAGCCGTACCAGAATCTTGCTCCATTCTTGTTCCGTTGCGTGATGGGCGTGGTTAGCAATCCTCCACGTGTGTTGCCGTGGGTCGAGTGCTCGCGCGGTCCTTGAGCTGGGGTGACTTCTGTTCGTCCCACAGTTTTTTGTGCGTGCATCTTTGCGTGGCCGTGACATGTCTTGGCTCTCACACACACAGGTCTTACCATGCGCAAGTCCACAACGGATAAGTCTTGGATAAGTATGAGTTTGGAGTTTATACTGGAGTGAGTCCGGCTGCGTCTTCCCTATACTGCTCGGTGACATGGACGGTTCCTATGAGGAAATGGGGAGGGATTCTGACAACGCTCCAGCATGAGGATCTTCTCTTTCCTGCTAGAATAATCAGCTTAAATTTGACGTTGCCAGATGTTTCTGAGGGACAGTCGGACAATGAGGCTGCAGGGGGAGCTGTTTGCTTTCATCTCCTCTGGTACAGCTTTGCTGCGGCAGCGTTTCGGTCCGTCGCGTTATTAGCGACGTCAGGCAAGGGTTGTGCAGTCCCTGGGGCTGCTCTACCAGAGGTGCGGCCCCGCGCCCTCTTAGTTTCCGTAGCACAGGGGTTGTATACTTTTGTACATCCTTCGTCCCCCTGCCCTTCTCTTTCAAGCCTGAAGTGGCCTTAGCTGTTCTCTAGTCGCAGTTATCCCAGTAGTAGCAAGTAGACTCGGGATTCCCAGAAAGGACGATACAGAACCTCAAGGCTGTATAGACAACGGACTTGACCGGTTTGTTTGATTTGTTGGCACCCCAGAGGGGACGCTGGAAGGGGAGGTTTTTTGACAGCGAGCTTCTCAGCTCCGCTGCAGCGGCGCTTTCCATCATGGCCAGGCGGTGTATATCGAGTTGGGAGTCTTCGAGGTGTGCTTCGAATGTAAACGAACGCATTCGCGAGATGCCGCGAGTCTAAGTGTCGTGCGGGTCAAGATCCTGAACTACATCCGCTTGGTTTATTGCAAGTCGAAGTGGGAGTTTGCTGACTCGACATAAGAAAGCATGAAATCAAGCCAGCACGCATTAAGAGTGGCTTGGCCTATAATGTTCCAATCATAGCTGCAAGTTGAGCGGCCATTGAGTTGTCTGCATCAAGCCTCGGAGAGGGCCACTGGAGCGCAACACTTCGCATGCTTTGGCGAGCTCGTTTGCTGGGGCAGGGGCTGAAGCCAGAGAAAGGATCCGGATGCCTCGCCTTGACTCAGCTTCAAGCCTCTCCGAGGACCCCTTAGCTGCCTTACTGTAGCTTCGGCCGCCTTCAATGCCGTAGCGCGGCACGGATGCAACGGGGGCCGGGTGCCATGGCCGAGTCGGGCCGAGTCGCTTTGACGCCTCACCGGGCGGATGATGGCATCTCGCAGCTGTGCGCTTAGTGCGCTGAGTGCGCTTGCCGAGCTCAACCGCCTGCTGATCAGCGATGGTCGTCGGAGCCTGTGGACTCGTTCACTACAGACCTTGGATCAGATGCAAGCCTCGCAGATTCAAGCTGATGCCTTCACCTGCAGCTCTGCAATCAGCTCCTGCGCGAAAGGGGCTTGGCAGATTGCCCTTCGCTGCTTCGGCAGCCTGTGCCGATCTGTCCTTCCCAATGCAGTCGTGCAGCTCGCCCGGTCCGCCCGGTTGTATTGCATGACAGGAGAGCTTCCGTCTAAGCTGTCGGAAGTCGACTTAGGTACACCACCCTGATGGTGGCCTTCAGCCGGCATGGAGAGTGGCGACAGGCCCTCGACCTATTCCGCCGCCTGGTTGCGGAGCATGTGCAGACGGACATCGTGCTGTACGGCGCCGCAGTGAAAGCCTGCGAGGAGGGCAGCCAATGGCAGGAGGCCATTTGCATCCTCCAAAGGCTCCCTGACCGGGCGTTGGTCCCAGACACGACCCTGTTGAACTCGGCCATCAGTGCTTGTGAGAAGGCCGGAGAGTGGCCTTGGGCTCTCCACTTGCTCCGAACGCTTTCGGACTGGGCCACCGGTCAGCAATAGCTGTACACAGTAGCCGCTACTTGTATCATCGTATCGTGATGTTGTCAGGGTGTTTGAACTGGCTGTGTCGCTCGAGGTCCTCCGTGCCGACGCCATTTCTTTCAGTGCCGCGATCAGTGCTTGCGAAAAAGCCATGCATTGGCAGCAGGCACTTCTCGTTCTTGGTGATGCCGAGCGCAGTTTTCTGGAACTGGACATCATCCTGTGCAATGCCGCTCTCAGCAGCTGCGCCAAGGGTTACTTGGTTGAGCGTTTCCATAGCCACAAGTTCACAAGTTCGAAGCTTTCTGAGTTCGGCTTCGGTGTCATCTCGAGGAGCATGGACGTGCAGCTTGCAGCTGCTTGCCGGTTTGGCTGGAGCCTCGGAAACCTCGCCTGCCTTGCCTCGGCCTGGGACAGTCGCTCACTTCGTTCCGGAAGGAGCACAGGGCGCTGGCAGCAAGCCAGATCACCCTCAATGCGGCAACGGCAGCTGCTGCGGCCAGCCCATGGCAGTTCCCAGGCAGAAAGGACAACGGGAGAAACTGGGAGGGCAAGAGCCTTGCAGCTTTCTGCCTCGAGTTGTAGAGAAGCTCAGGATCGGCGACTGCGCTCCTCCGGTAGTTTAGGTATGGAACTCTTGCGGGTCTACTCATAGACTGTTCCCAGAGTTGCAAGATATGTAAGAAACCGGGAACTCCTGAGTCTGAGGCTCGCTTGGTGCCTGCTGCCCAGCTTCACATCCCATGCCCTCCGGACCGATGGATCCTCAGAGAAAGGCGCCTTTCAGCATGCTCAGAGTGCAGAAATTTCTGTTCTGAGGATGTGATCGCATACAATGCTGTGGTGTCCGGTGTCGGGGGAGAGTGGCCGGTGGCCTGCCAGCTGCTTCGCAAAATTGCCGCCCGGTCTGGCTGATACCTTCCCCCGTTCCCGCAAAGGTGAGTGTTGGCTGGCCCTCGATGTTCTGGAATATGCCTGTGCCATACCATAATTGCAGACAGTAACATCTGGAAAGTGGTTTCCGGCAACTCAGGAGGAGGTGTTTCCAAACTCTTCAGTGGTGAGTTATACGGCAGCTTTGGAAGCTTTCGCCACGCTCGAAGATGCGGAGTCCAGATGCGCCGAATGGCGGAGGGCTCTGCAAGTTCTGTCTGCCTCTCCCTGCCACAATGAGCTGACTTTCGAAGCCGCCATCCGAAGTTGTACCGATCTCAGCTGAGCTCAGTTGGTTTCCTCTACAAAAAGACACCTCGCACTCGCCTTGGCTTCGCAGTCTCAGCCAAGGCGTCGCTGCCGAGAAGCGAAGAAGAACCGTTCTGCATGTGCCAAAGTCTCGTGAATTATGCACAGAGACGTTGAACCTTGCTGCCAGCTGACGGCTATCTCAGAGTCGGACAAGCTACAACCCAATTCAGGCAGAGCCAGGTAGAAACGGCACTGTTTTCTTAACCACGTATCAGCTGCCTTCAGAAAGAGTTGCTAGCCCCGGGTAACGCCACTGAAGCTCGGCAGAAGACCTGCGCGCAGTGGTTAGTAGTCAGGATAGTCAGGTCTCAGCTAGTATGTCTCGTCATGGCGCCGCAGCTTATCCTGCCTCGGGATGCTGCAGAGCTTCGGCGAGCTTGTGCGGCGGACAGTGGGGAGGGAGGGACGGAGGGAGAGACCGCGAGAGAGAGCGAGATGCATGGCAGTGGATGCGTAAGACCGGACGAGTGGGGGCTGAGCATGTTGACGAGGACTTCGAGCAGAGTTCTCCCCCGGATCCCGCATCTCGGGCGCAATTACACTCGCCTGGCACTGGCGCGAGTGCGGAAACAATGCGTCACATCAACCTTTTGCTGCCTCAGGTTGAGTGCAGCATTTGCTTGGAGGGCGATGCCAATGTGCTGCTGCCGTGTGGTCACCGCTACCATGCAGAATGCTTGGACCGGTGGTTCGAAACTCGTCAGGTCTGCCCCACCTGCGGAAGAGCCTACGGGGACACTGTAGGAACGATGCCAGATGGAGTGATGAGCTGGCATTTTCGAAAGCAACGCCTGGCCGGCTACAGCTGCCCCACCGTGGTACTTCATTTCTTCTTTCCGCGCGGTACAGTCGACGGGGAAGAGTTTGAGGGTCGATCGCAGCATGCATACTTGCCGGACGACGAAGAAGGACGTTCTCTCCTGGCACTCTTCCAGTTGGCATTCCGTCGAAGACTCCTTTTCGGTCTAAGACCTTCTTTGACGACGGGGCGCCTGCGGCCGACATTTTCCATTCACATGAAAACGTCCATGAGTGGTGGCCCAGCCCGACACGGGTACCCGGACCCGCAATACTACAGAAGCGCCCTGGAAGAGCTGCGATTGGCAGGTGGCCGCCTCAGGCTTCAAAAAGCTTCCGGCTCGGCTTCCCTTCAAAAAAATATGGCCTTTTTAGGGTGAGTCGTCATCTCTTTTGAGAGGCATCGAAATCGACGCGGCTCTGCCGGTGGCAGTGTCTCTCCACAGAAGCTCCTATGGCTGTGCCAGATGTGGACGAGTCGCAGAGCCTAGGTTCAAGTTGTGGCAAGAGATGGCCCCGACGAGTGTGGACTGCGTTTCCCGATTCGCTTTCGATGAGGTGGCTGTTCTCAACGGCTTCATCTACCCGGTCACCCCTCTGGCATGCACGGGGGCCTGTCTGTCGAATCGGAGAGAGCGGAACAAGATTCAGCCTGGGCATCTTTAAGGCTTCTTCGCGCTGGCAGCGACAGGTCCGCGGACCAAGCATTGCAACTATTGCAACTATTGCAACTGCATGTGCAACTTGTGGATGCCAGGAGAGGGGCGAATGGCGGTTCTGGCTGCGATTTCAGTGGAAGCCGGGCTGACTCTCCCGGCCTTCCCGTCCGGAGCTGAAAGAGGCAGCGAGCGGACGCCGAGACTGCCGTGCTATGCAAGGTCCACGCTGGGATTCCTGCTGTGGATCCTCCTGACCACGCCAGAACCCGATGCATTTAAGATGCTCGGTGCAAAGCTTCGGTGGCGGGTGCGCTTCAGGATCGCGTACACATCGCTGGACTTGGTCTGCATGAACCTGGGCTGCAAAGCGTCCGTTCGCCCACTCCAACACCGCTAGTTGTCGCTACTTGGTGTTCGAGTCGTTCAGGCTGGCCACCGGCATTGCAAACGTCTACGTCGTGCTTCGATTACTCTTGCAGCACCGATACAGCTGCTTCGACACAGCCGCTTCGGCTGCATCCTCCGGTGCGTTCATGCAAAGGAGCACAGGGGCAGGTTTAAGGCAGAGCTCCCTGCAGCCGCGATCAGGTTGCAAACCGAGCCCGCCCCTGGGTGGCAAACCGCTGCTGAACGGCACTATATGGCACTAGTCACTAGTCACTGAGTCACTAGTGGGCTTTTGAGAAAGTGCCGCCGCACTGCCTGCGATCTAGGCCTGTTCCAGCTGGGCCTCCTGAATCTGGTGATTCTCTATTCTGGCATTTGGCAGTATACCTTCGGCAAGGTTGCTCTAGCAGGAGCTGTCCCTTTGCTGAAGTAATCCCACAAATATCGAGGCGCTGACCTCTGGAATAAGAAAACGTATGCCATGTGCAAACGTTCGTTTTGCCATTTAGGTTTTCGCCCCAGACCCAGAGAGCTGTTGAAGACAATTGTTCGCCGCGCGCGAGGACTTTAAGTTTGAAGACGAAATAGACGAAATTCGGCTTGAGGCACATTCAAGACGAAATTTGTCCGGAAGACGAGATACAGCCTGAAGACGAAATTCCTCGCCACTCAAGGCCCACCGCATATGCTTCTAAGCTCCTGCATGCTCTTCCAAGACGATTCAGCCCTGCAGTGCAGACGGAATGCGGCCCTGAAGAAGAAATTCGATCCTGAACACGCAATTCGGCCCCGACGACGAAATGCAATCCTGAAAACGAAATTCGGCCCAGACGGCGAAATCGCGCGTTGAAGACGAAATGAAAGACGAATTTCGATTCCGAAGACGAAACTCGGCCCAGACGACGAGCTTCTGCGTTGAAGACTAAATGAAAGACGAAATTCGGCCCTGAAGACGAAATTCGGCCTCGAAGACGACATTCGGCCCTGAAGCGAAAGTCGAGCTAATATAGGAGTTCTGATCTTAAAGTGAAAGGCACCCCATCAGTCCAAGGCTCCATTCTCTGAGTTCAGGCTGCCGTCAGTCCATGGCTCCATCCTTTGAGTTCAGCGTGGTAGGAGATCTGTCTGACAGATAACCCATCAGTTCTTGGACCCACTTCCCCAGGCCCTTGATATGGTTTCTACAGTGGCCGCCCAAATGTTTTAAGCATGCTCCGATCACAAGCGTCATGCGTTTAGACATGTTGTTTTTAAAGCATTACATATTTTCGACACCCTGTAAACACTTTCCCCCGACCCCAACACTGATGCATGGTACATGCTGAACCATGAAATATGCTGCGAAGTCGTCACTTGACAGCGAGGCTGCCTCTTTCCTGGTGCAGCTCTTGCGGAGAGGGCATCGAGCCCCTCAATGGGTGCAGGCGGCACTGTGTCTTGCCACGGCATCCGTCCCTTGTGGTCTTCCCCCCCGAGCTGCTGCAAGGATACCACGACGCCCGACTTACATGCCGCCCTCGAGATGGCGCCGTGGCCGGGTTGCCAGGTGCGGTTTGCGTGCCCTTCACTCGAAGACTCGAGTCGAAGCTTGAACAGGAGCCGGTGGGAGAGGTGGGCCCCTTTCGACACTTCCAGGCAAGATAGATTGGAGTCTAGAGCAATGTGAAGAAGCTGCGCGGCCCCATTCAAGGTCTCCCGATTTGGTGCCTGCCTTTTTTTCTGTTTGTGTGTGCGGTCGTGCACATAGCACACACACAACACAAATACACGCCGGCGCATGGTGTGATGACCATGGGGAAAGATCTGGGAGGGCAAAGCTTGTACTTGCAAGGTAAGACAGGACCCAAAGCCGCCACGAAAGTCGGACCACTGGATTTCCTACGAGCAGTTTAGGCAGTGTATATATGATCGAATTATGGCAGCTTGCTGTGTGCGTGTGTCCCGGGACGTCTGCACCGTATCAAATATCAGACATCAAGCGCTGCTTCGACTGTACATCGCCATCCATTGGGATTTGACGATGCCTTGATTGGGCCAGTCCTTCCCCGATTCACATGCATGTTGCATTGAATCAAGATGTCATGTCGACATCATCTCTCAAAAGTTCTCAGAGGCGAGGGCGAGGAGGTGGGAAGCGTCCGAGTGTGCACGTGAAGCGATAACAAAAATCAGTCAAACAGCAAGGGGCCAGCGGAGAGGCAGGTAAGATGAGTCGTGCGCTGACCAACGAAGACCGCGCACGTATCTACTTGTCCTTTCGTGTAAACGTACCTGCGACATGATGCAAAGATAAGAAAAAGTGCTGGATAAGATGGAAACGATGTAGAGGAAGAGATGAGAAGATGATTCTAGCATGCTAACCCAGGTATGATTTCGATCATTGACATACCGCATGGGTTAATCCGTGCGTGGGTGGGTGGGTGAGTGGAACTTCTGGGTTGGGTTCCTAGGTCCTTGTTACCAGTGCAGGACTACAGGGACTAGGGTAAAGATCCCTGTTTATTTGCCTGAAACGGATAACAAATTGTCATCGCCGGTACTTGCATGCGTGCGCCCATTTTTCACTCCCGTTGTTGTTTTTGTCTTTTTTGTTCGTGTGTGTGTGTGGTGGGGGGCGAGGGTGTGGGCGCCTCCCCTCTCTGCTTTTTTGTGTTCTGGCTTGAATATCTGTGTAAGCTGCGGCTTGCTGCATGCACCCGCGTCCAAGGAGAAGAAGACTGGCCGAGGTATTCTTGCTGCACGTCTTTGCAAGGTCGTACAGACATGCGGCGAGTACATCAGGCCGATCGAAAGTGCTCTTGATGCTGACTCATGACTCGTTTCTCCACCCGCTTTGCTGCAGGACGTGATGCGATCGCTCGAAGAGAACAGCAGAGCGAATGTGAGTAGTGCCGGTTCCCGAGCTCGCGGCCAGTAACGGAAGTCGGATGAAGTGGGTTTTGCTGTCTGACACAGGTTATCCAGACGATGCTTGCAAACGAGCTTCGCTTTTCGGAGGCGGGTGAGGTTAAGCGATGATGCAGGCTATGCCCCTACTGTAAGTCCTGGTATGTTCGCTTGGTTGAGCGCCATGCTGGAACAGATGGTGATGAAGATACCTCAAGTCGGCTGAGCTTTGCCCGTCTTTCAACGAGGAGCACGCCGTGTTCTACCACAGCTACTCCAGCTCTTGCATACTCTACGAGCTGCGTTCTTAGGTTGGGAGGGTGCCGGGCAGAGATTCGGAGAAGCTCGGCTCCTGAGGTTGCAAGCCGTGCTTGCTGCTTTCTTCCTCGGCTACCCGCAAGATGGCCCGCCGATCTTGCGCTTGACCAGGCCGAGTCTGTTGGGGGAGAGCGCGTTTAGCGGGCCTCCGCTGCCCCGCTGGCGCAGCGCAGGGCTCCCTTCGAGAACGTGTCGTCTTTGTTCACCCCTCAGCAGCCAGCAGCCTGTGAGCTAAGTGAGCTCCGGACCGGACCAGACGGGACCGGGTCACCGGAAGGCAGCAGCTGCTGGACCTCCGCAGAGCCGGCACCAGCGACCGCACCCCAGAGTTCCGCCGCCCGGCAGCACACAGCACGGGCACCGCAGCACGCGGACTTAGCCGGGTAAGGGTTCCTGCGCTGTCGCTTCTGGAACCTAGAAATGACACCCTCCCACTATTTGGCCGGGGAGCGTTTCTTCGTGACATTAGCAGTGCAGGAGCCCTTGCGATTTCTGTGCGGGAGCCTCAACAGCCCGGATGCGCTTTGAACTTTGAATGTGATGGGTGCGGTACGAGTGCCATGAGAACTCTCAGGTTTTGTTCCTGCTTTGCCTCGGGAGGCTATGGGAGAAGCATCAGGCTAAGTGCGGCGATTCGGGTAGTAGCTGCCTCGTAGTGGAATAGAACTTGATTTCAACACCAGAAGTTTTCCGAAGAGTCTTTGGACTTTGGATATTGTTTGTGGACCTTCGTCCGCGCTCGTAAGGTATGTTGGAAAACTACCTTGTCAGCGGATACCACACGCCGCATGACACCAGCGCTGACATCCGCAGCTCGTCGTCTTTTGAGAGCGGAAGGCAAAGCTAGCGAAGTCTCGAGTGCTCCAAGGACGGCTCCTGGCCGCTCGGCGTCGCACAGTGCTCCTCTCATCGGCTCGCGCAGTAAGGCCGTGACGTGTTTGTGAGGAGCTGGTCTTGCAGCCAGCCGGGGAGCTCGAGGAGCTGCCGGCCTTGCTGCGGCTCGGCAGCAAGTCTCACTGCACGCCGCTGCATGTCGTTGCTTAAGCCTGAGCTTGCGGTGCTGAAGGTCCGGCATCCTGGCACTTGGCCAGGCGTTTGACCTGGATTCGCGGGCGTCTGGGGCGAAAGGAGCAGCCAAACGCAGAGGGCATGCACCTCGTCAACAAAAAGGTTCCAGTGCTTGAGACGGGCCTGGCGACAGTGCTCACGTGCGACGGGGGTAAGTCAGCTCACGTGACTCCGTAATGCCATCGTGAGGGTTGCGTAGCTTCCAGGTCTGACTGATGAGTGACTGCTGGATGTTACCATGGCAACGTGAGACCCTGTCACTCACAACACTTGACACAGCATCCTGGAAAGGAGGAGCTTTGCAGGCGCTTTCACGAAAGCAACTCCTCTGAAGCTTGCGATACTTGCGGGAGTTGTCGGTACTCGTACATAAGGAAGAAACGGAAAACAAGACGTCAGGTCTGAGAAATCGAGACTTCGACATGTTGCACATGCAGCAAGGGCCGTGCCGGGTGTCCCCCCATTCCGCTTCGCGACACCCCCCAAATTCCCCCATACCGTCTTACTGTGACTCCGTACCTCTACTACAACTCCTCCTCATGCTCCTGCTGCGTGTAGTTGCAACTACCAACGGCACAAGCACTGGCTCCACTAGCCGTGCACCGGAAAACAAGCACCCGCGCCTGCCTAGCCCCCTTTATGGCCCCTTCTGAAGCTTTCAGGACTACGTAGTGATAGTAGGAACTCTCATCTTCGTCATGTTATGGGTGCTCGCTGTCAGTCATGGTAGCCATGGTCAGCATCCTCACATGAAGTTGTTGATCCTGGGAGCGTGCATCGCAGGTCCTCCAGATCTTCCTCCATCACTCGGCTCAAGCCTCAAGCAGTCAGAAGAGTCAGAAGAGAGAAGAGGAGTGACTCGTGGCGGAGTCGCAGCACGCCGTAGGTGGTGGATGCCGTCGTGTATGGGGCCCAGCCCTTGGGTTCCCTGGCACCACAGGGTGTTCCCTTCTCCGAGTGGCTTCGACAGCAGTGCCCGGTGGAGGGCCAAGCGCGCCCTTTGACTGCACAAGGGCCTATACTAAACCGAGCCCACAGCCCTTCCTTGCGCTGAGGTCTCCTGATGCATCCTGATCTCTTCCTTGACACACGCCGTGGCAGCTTGGACATGCAGAAGTACTCCACCAAGCAGTATAGCTCTCAAGAGCACCAGGTATGCGGATTTGTTTCTGCGAGTCTTCCAGATGCAGAGAGACGAGGCCTCGTGCACATCGTGGCTTTGAGCCCGCGGCCCTTCGACCGGCTTGGCTTACGCAGTCGCCTTCGGGAGCTTCTTGGGCCCCACTTGGCGAAAGCAGCGCAGGACCTGGGAGCCGAGGGCCGAAGGCTCTACACCGTTGGCTTAAAGGCATGTGAGTGCATGTTTATGTGCATGTGAGTGCAGGCTTGAGTGCATGTGTATGCATGTGTGTCTCCGCACGCGTCGCCTGTATCCTTCTGGGGCCTCACCGTGGTCGCGCACGCATGTTGCGAGGAGGATCTGAAGGCATCCCTTGGATTTCGAGCAACTTGGCGTGAGAACCCAAAGCTGCTTCAAGCGTGCGACGAATCGCCTGAGGACAGAGAGGAGACGCCCTCCGCTACGCAGGTCTCACCAGAAGTTGTGTAGGCTGTATAGAGCATCGAACAGAATGGGGTCTACTAGCTGTAAGCCAGAGCGAGCTGAAAGGATGCTGGGGTAGGCTGACTACACAATCCAGGAATGCAGGCACAGTGTGGCACGTCGTTTGTTGTGGACAATGAGTTCTTCCAGTCGTTCTTTGTATCATTCAGAACAGCAAGAAGCAGCCAGAAGCTTCGTAGAGATTTTGCGACTCTGGGTTCTGCGACATACTCATAACCCCAATTCAACGCAAACCCAGCACGACCTCACTTAGCAGCTCCAAGCCGTGACAGAATCTCGTGGCATCCGAGGTCGATGGGTGTTGAACTTGTCGGATACAGTAGGGATTACTTCGGATCCAGGTCTAGGACAGACCGAGATGAGCAGTTGATAGAAGAATAGACTCTCGTCGAGGCAGTCACTTTCATGGCATGTTCTCCGGTCTCTTCGTTTCCCGAATTGTATGCCATGCATAAGCAGACAGACATACAACATGCGCAGCTTCACTGACGGGTGTGACGAAACACGACCCAGTGGATGCCCCGGCTCCGCTCGAGTAGCCTCATTCCGGTGGCATCACCATTCATCCCTACTTTTTTATTTATATATGTTCAGAGTGAGAGAGAGAGAGTCGTTCTGCACCAGAAACAGGTAAAAGGTCGCACAGTGTGTTCTTATCACACACACACACGTGTATGTAAAATGTACATGTACATGTGTATGTATGTATGTATGTATGTATGTATGTATGCATGTATGAAGTGTCTCGGCCCGAAGTGGCTCGTCTGGAAGCCAAGTCCAGCCTGAATGGTTGCTGTGCAGCCATGGTTCGGTCGCAGGCGTCAAGTACCAGCTCTGCTGGCTCTGCTGATTCTAGCAGCAGTGGCGGATCAGAGTCGCCAACTACTGCAGCAGCCCGGGACAGAGCGGCGCAAGCCCGAGTGGAGCGCAACAGAAAGAATCTCCGTACATGGTACAGGAGAAGGCTGGTTGCCACGCTATGCGAGCAAGCTATCGAGGACCAGCTTGCAACGGCCAATCACACGACCCGGCAGATTGCAGGCCGCCTCAGCGCATTCAAAAGACGGTGCGAAGGCCACAGCGTGGATGGCTTGGTTACCTTCACGGTTCCACAGCTGGAGCAACCACAAGACACCTCCCTACGCCATGATATCGAGGTCATCTTACAACTCTACGACACCCAGATCCCCCCAAACGACTGGGAATGGATCTTTTCTGAGCAAGTTGGGCGACAGGAGGACCCACGGCTTAAGCAGGTGGAGCAACAGCTTGAGCGCCTGCTCCATAGCAGTCTGGCGCCCCAGCTGCACACTGCCTCTGCTCAGGTGTTCATACAACGAGCCATCGTCCAAGCGGGAGGCAGCCTGTACCGGGACTTCATATTGCTGGTGTGGCCGCTGCTGTCCGACTCGGACCGCTTCGTCTTTCAGCAATGGTACCAGGGCATGCGCCCAACTGTACAAGACGAGCCAGAGATGGCTCCAGGAGCAGCTGCGGACGAGGATGAAGACATGGACATGGAAGCCCCCTCTCCACCCAGGGGCTCACGCGATCCATCGTCCAGAGCATGAACGCCGCATGGCGACGCGAATGGACAAGGACAATCGGAAGGGCCGCCCTGGTCCCAAGTCCAGGGACATTCACTGCTTATGGCAACGATCGGCACGCTCGACCAGGCGGGGAACATGGAGAAACCTGCACAGCTATTGGCGCATGTTCTGGTCCATAGCAGTGTTTGTAGACACGAGGGTTGGAGGAAGCATAGGCCAAAGCCCTCCTCGAGTCCTACACATAGTACTTAGGGACTTCAGCGAGCTGACAAAGCTTTTTGGCCCCACCCCAGACGGAGTCTATGGAGAAGGCATAGACGTCTTAAGGGAGTGCAAAGCAATTTCAAGTTTCACCAACATTTTTCTCAGGCTTTCAGCTGCGACACAGTCTTATGATCTGCTACATTACATATACTGCAATCAATTAAACACAGCAAGTGATCGAATGGAGGCGTGGAGGCCAGGCATTTTGCCTTTCAGAGCAGACCCGCTGTCCGGAGATGACGCCGAGGCCGGCCACTCTGCTCAATACATGCTATGTGCCACAGTGGTAGGAAGCGTCATACTCCTATGGAGCAATCCAGCCGGAACAGACAAATCCTTGTGTTGGCGAGTAACACGTGTTCGTCCAGGCTCCTACCGCAGGCGATGCGTTCTGAAGAGAGACTGGGTCTTGCCAGCAGACGGCAAAGCCAGCACGCACCGCACGACTAGGGCGTCGGCAGAAGTCACACCCCGAAGGACAGAGGACATTAGAACACCAACCCCTACACATAAGAGGTGGCATATACCCTGCGGTCCTTTAGTATATGTTTGCATAATGGCCAGCATTCTAAATGCACGTACGGCTGCAGCTGCACCAATAGTTGCAAACTACGCCGGCGCCGAGTCGCCGGGGCGTCCGGGCCCGCCAAACGTGATCAGGGCCTTTGGCCGACTGGCAGAGACACCGTCTGCCTCCAGCAAGCGCTCCTTTAAGCGGGCACAGATTAGGGCCATCAGGGATGG